AATTCAAAGTTTGATATCTACGAGTACTCTATAAACTCAACACAAATAAAATACAGTTCAGAACCTTTTTTTACATTAAATGTTTACAATAGCCTTTAGCCTTGAGAATTGAGAAAGATAAAAATATTTTTTTAAAACTAACTATAGTATAATAAAATTTCTACAATAACTCGATATTGGTTTTCTTATTCCTGTGATACTGATTTTCGCCATTCTTTCTTTCTTTTCATTCTGCAGGGGGGGCGCGCCCCCCCTCTCAGGTGCTAGGGGAGGGCGCGCGCCCGGCCGCCCCCCCCCTAGTTGCGCCTCTGATGATTATTATCATTTTATTATTACTTTTCTTTTGTTAAAATTATAGATAGGGCATTGGTGGAATGAAAGGGGGGTATAGAATGGGATGGGGGGCCATACGCCTGCGCACTCCTGAAAATGATAATGAAATATTTTATTTTTTTACACTGGACCAGACTTTACTATTACTAAAACCAGATTAATCGTGAATAAATATGAAATGCATTAAATAAACTCTTTTGATAAAATATTTTATATTGATAGTTTCCGTGACTTGTAGGACTAGATTTTGTTGTGGCTGGATTTCCTGTTCCTCCCCTCGTAGTCCGGAGAGTCCGGATGATACGATCTTACAAATTTATTTTGAATTTCCCGCCATTAAAGTATCATATTTTGCCAAGGTTTTCAGTCAATAAATCTATCTATCTATCACAACAACCGGCTTCTCAAAGAAAGGTGCTCAGCATCGAACCACCAAACAGATAACACTGAAAAACCGTGATAAACCAAAACGTGAATTTTTTGATGGTTTGAGACAGCTTCAACTTGTTTTTAGTAAGGTAATAATGATATATAATAATCATCAAAGCAATAACTAGAAAATATTGTTCACAGTTTTACCTTTTTTATAGATTCAGGAATTTATGAATGGTTCGTCGCTTGGTAATTTCGGTAATTGGGGTAGAGCTGCACCCACGTGTGTGTTGGATGCATAAGTGANCGGCCACGGGTTAGGTTAAGTTAAGATACTTTCTGTAAGGTCCATGTACAAAATTGATAGGAAGGGGGGGGTTTCCAAAAATCGTTCTCTAGGAAATTACCGATTTTTGGATCCCCCCCTCTTATCAATTATGGACATTGATCCAATATGTAACACATGGATATAACTGGTCATTTGGCCACAGCGCCCGGCCCCCTTTACGATTTTTGGACCCCTAGCTGCAGCGCTCGGCCCAGATATTGTCTGAACCTAACCATATATTTATAAAAAATATTAATTTTGCTTAAAAGTAAGAGGTAGGAGGGTGGGGAGTCCAAAATCGTATACTAGGACGGACCCTAAAAGTGGTCATGTTCAAAATTGATGGGGGGGGGGGGTCAAAAATCGTATACTATAAGGGGACGGACCCCAGGTAATTTCTTTTTTGAACCCCCCTCCCCCCCCTTCACCTCTCCTAACATATTTGTTCATGAACCTCATATGTACATGGATATAATTGATCATGTTGCCGCAGCACCAAGCTCCTAGCCTGTCTTAGCCGCGACGCTCGGCCCCAAGCCTGTCCTAGCCGCTGTGTACGGTCCAGAAATTGTCTTAAACTAACCTAACCCTACAATATTAAAAATAAATAATAATTTTGCTGAAAATTAGTGCTCAGATACAAAATTGGGTAATTTTCTAGAGAACGATTTTTAGGGTCCCTCTGTCTGCGGTAATTTATTTCTTCATTTTTTTTGTGTTATCATATGGGTAATTCCTAGTAAACGATTTTTAGACGGCCCCCAGCCCCCATCAATTTTGCACTTGGATCTCGCATGTAACATACGGATAAAATTGGTCATGTGGCCACAGCGCCCGGCCCCTTGCCTTTCCTAGCCGCGGCGCTTAGACCCTATGCTTGTCCTAGCCGCAGCGCTCGGCCCCCTAGCCTGTCCTAGCCGCAGCACTCGGCCCAGAAATTGTCTTAACCTAAACTAACTAATTCTAATATTACTAGAAATTCAAGGCGCTTCGCGCCCTTCTTTCTAGCCTTAGATAATCGTATACTAGGATGGACCCTTCCACTCTTTGCATGTTTTGTGTTTTGAGTATAATGATCATTTCGTTTTTATGATTGTGCGAAAATTATTTCTACAAATCCACAAAATTTCATCTTGAAACTGGTTTTTAAAAGTCAACGCTAGGGACTACACTAGCACACAGCTTTTGATGTTTTAAAATCTTTGTACCAATTTTCTGCTGCCTTCACAACGATTTTGTTTATTCTTAATTTTCTCCTAATTTCTTTCTGTTTAGGTGAAATTTTATTACTTAAATTTCTCCAAAGTAAATTCAACAGTTAAAATTAAATTAACTTCTTTGCATAATGAGAAAGGCGAATGTAAGTAAGATGGAAATAGAGAACCATTTCAGGAATATTATTCCACTGTAGTCTGTTTTTTAGTTGGCCCTTTTCACAGCGCTCGGCCCGCTAGTTTTAAGGTTATTCTTTTTATAGCACTCGGCCCCCTAGCCTGTTGTAGCCTAGCCTTCAAATTGTCTTAATCTGTCTAATCCTTAATTATTCATTTTACAATGCTTTGTGGTCGCTTTGTTCCTTTCTTTTATTACAACTGTGAACAATTTATCTTTACATTGTATAAAAAATGTTGCGGATTTTATAAGAAAATTTTGTGGATTTTAAACATTTTATGCAAATCGAATTTTGTTGGAGGCTAAAATTGAAATTTTCATCATCAATAAACCCTGGGGACATGTGTGAGGTACCACATAAAATTTGGGCCCGATCGGTTCAGCCATTTTGACGTTTATTGGATACAAACGGACAGACAGACATACATTTAAAGTATATTTATATATATATATAGATTAAGCTTCTAAAAATGCAACTTCGCCTAAAAATAGTAAATAAAGATTACTATGTGTTTATCCGTCTTCTTTTATCTTACTAAATTAAAGCGCATTTGATGTGTTAGGTGATTTACTCAGGGGAGATTTTTGCCTTCATCTTTTTCAAAGGAAATTTAACAGTTCTAATAACATAAATTTCGTTTCATAACCAAACCCATTATAGTACAAATTATTACTGCAATTTTGAAAAAACTTCAGTACTTTTTACTTTCTTGGGATATTTTAATTAAAGATGATTTATTCGCTGTTGATTATTAACTGGGAATATTCTGAAATATTCTGAGTACTTGACTTTGTCATAACATGACTTTTCAGGAGGGGTAAGTTTTTTTATAATATATGTGGATAGTATTGGTCATCCCTAAAACTCTGATTGATGGAAAACATTAACATAATTTTTTTTAGATTCGGTTCGAGTTGCATCAATTTGGAAACTAAACTAGGAAAGGGGAATACAGAAAATGTGAAAATTTGTTGAAAAAAGCGTATATCATAGATATCAAGATGGGATCAAGCGAAAAGTTCTGCCTTCGATGGAACGATTTCGAATCTAACATAAGTGTCGCGTTTCGTGAACTGCGCGAGGAAAAAGACTTTTTTGACGTAACCCTAGCGTGTGACGATTCACAGCTTCAAGCACACAAAGTCATTCTCTCTGCTTGTTCACCTTTCTTCAGAAACATTCTTCGGAAGAATCCTCATCAACACCCTCTATTATATCTCAAGGGCGTAAAATACAAGGAATTAGTTTCAGTGTTGAACTTTATGTATATGGGTGAGGTGAACGTTGCCCAGGAAGAGTTAAATTCATTCTTATCCGTCGCTGAAGAGCTTAGGGTCAAAGGACTCACACAAAACAATTCTTCAGATAGTGCCAAACCTGAACCCAAATCACGGTCCCGTGACCCCCCTGAAACCGCTCCTCCTGCCAAAAAAAACCGTCCGTCCGTCCCTCCTCCCACTCCCAGCCAAGACGATGATATCCAGGAAGTAATCCCTGTTAAATCTGAACCCAGAGATCAACCCGTACCTGTTAGTCAGGAGTTGAACCATGGATACCAGGATACCGGGGACCAGGGTACGGTTGCACTGCAGGAAAACTATCCCGATGATTATGATTATGAAGGCTATGAAGGATATGATGAAGGTTCCTATGACCCGAGTACGATGCAAGCGACCGGAGCTGATGGAAACAAAGGTAAGAGAATTTTTTTTTTAACGTGACTTATACTGAAGGATTCCACTGACGAATTTTATATGAAATATTTCCATTTTGATATATTTTATAATGTTTTCACCCCCTCCCCCCTCATCATTGGCTAAATTGAAAAAACTAAAAAATTGTTCTAAAAATCTAAAAAAGGGGAAAAAATTGAACTTGGGGGAAAAAGATGGATAAAAAAGACGGATACTCAACGATTCAAAATGCGGGCAACTTTTCTTGCAATCTCGAGATAAAAATTTATTTTAGATAATAGTTAAAAAAAAAAAAATAATCACAGAATTGAATTCGCCATGCTGATCCTTATGTATAAATCACGTTATGAAATAATGTAAATCCCAGTATAAGTTCAGTTTTTTTCAAAACAGTTCTTCTAATAAACTAAAAATACAGGGACTAATGGCTAATTTGATATTTTTGTGTAAACTTTCTAAAATAAAAAAAATCATTTTATGATGTCAGATTTATTTAAATATAAAAATCGTCAATTTGAAAAAACTTAGATTTTTGCTGTCTGGGAGTTTCATTTTTCTACAATTAATAGTAAAATATCCACAGTGTGATTATTTTAACATACTGTGTATATTTCCCTAAACCTAAATCAGAAAAACTATTTTTTAACCTTTGATTTTGATTAAATTTCTGAATTAGGCTTGTTTTATTAAACCTGAGAAGCATATTATTTTCATTTAATTTTTGCAGAACGCACAAATTTAATTTTATAAATATGTATGCTTCAGGGGGTTATTTAGCAGATTAAATTTTGTTTTCTGAGTCACAAAACTATTTTGCAGATATTCCTTATTAATTAACATTTTGTTACTAAAACCAAATTTAATCTACAAATACTCGTATGGTTAATGATTATCAAAAGATGCATTTTCGGACATTTTTATTTTTTTTCGGAAAACCTTAAATATTAGGAACCCATTTTTGGACTGTCTATCCTGTCTTAATTCTTGAGTCACCAGACTTTTTTGTTTAAACCTGATAGAAGTAAACCTTACTCTGTACATTAGGTTTAATTTAAAAGTCTGACGAAGTTTTTGGAACCCAACTTGTCATAATAATAGATTTTTGGTAAATGTGTCTCCTTTAGAGGGGGACACTATATTCTTACGTCTGTCAGTTGTAAACGAGTGTTTTCGTCCTTACGGAGTTGCTGGCCGAGGTAGGAGGACGAGTTCAAACAAGGACGATGTGAGGAGGACGCTGACGAGTATGAGCCGGAATCCACGAAATCTGAACTGAAAATCTGGGAGATAATTGATGAAGGACATTAGTTATTATTTTAAAATGAAATGAAATACTGAAGAATATTTAAGATGGGATAACGTAAGGATTCATCTCTTGACCATTTTTCCCAACACAAATATTCATGTCTTCTGAAGCTAGAAAAAAATCGGTTATTTTAATTATAATATTTATAAGAGGAACTTACCAGTATTTTTTTTATGATACCGAATTTTTTGATGCTACATTTAAGCTATGACTTGAGTTTTTACCTCTGAAAACGAGAAACAACCACTTTATAAATTCGTCCACGCTATTAATACTAATATACTGGGGAGGGGGGGATATTATTTTTGAAGAGTTATAAAAGAAGATATAATCCATTTTTAATAAGTAAAATAGTTAAATATTTTTCATTAAAAAACTCTAAATAAAATAAGAAATAGGTAGTGTAGTGGGGATATACATTTTTTTTTGTGTAGTTGAGGGGGGGGGTATAGTTATAAAGCTGCGTTAAAGTCTTCATGCAAGGAAAGTTTTTTACTTCCACCATTCTAAACAAATTTTATTTGCTGAAACCAGTCAAATAGGGAATATTCATAATTTTATTGATTCCTCGCTGCCGGTTGAGATTTTTGCTTTAGAACGAAATTTTTTTTTGTAATTTGGGATTGACATTATTCTTGGATCCGCCGGGGGAAAAATTGGGTTTGGAAAATACTATTTTTTTTTGAAAATATATACCCCTTACCATAATAAACATGTATTTAAAGCAATATTTTTAAAGAAAATTTTAATAAATTAGTGCCTGAAAGGACTCTCTAAGATAAAATCTGTCTGCAATCATTTACAGTGCAAAACTAAATAAAAAAATTACATGTTTATTATTTAAAATCGTGGATAATTGTTGTGACTAAATACGACTTAAATTTAGAACATTAAACAAAATATTCTAAGAACCTTAAATTGATGCAATTTTAAGTGACTCTTCATTTTAAGAAGGCCATGTACATCTGATTCACAACGGATCCTTAAGAACTTATATGATCAATAATTGTTTATGTGATAAAAATCCGTAGGCCACTTTCAGAAGGAGACCGCAGGTTAAAATATCGAATTTTCAAATGTGTAAACATGAATATCTGATTTATTTTTTTAAAGGCAAAGATTTGCATTTATCTTTGTGAATAGAAAAAGTCACTTTTTTTTTTAACTATAATTTCTTTTAATTTTCCTTTTTAACCCTTTTAATGGATAACAAATTGGAAAAAGATATTTTACACGTATACAGAAAAACAAGAGTGAAGGGGGGGGGGGGGCGTCTGGATTTATTTTGAAAATGAAACCTCACCTTTAGTGTTAAATAAAAATAAAAAAATTGTAAGATAAAAGGAAGAACTATGTGAAATAACTAATTAAAGGATAAAATACCTTACTCATCTCATTAATTCTTCTCATGGCTATATTTTCTCAGCCATATTTTTTCTGCTATAAACTCTCAGCAATATTTTCTCAGCCATATTTTCTCAGCCATATTTTCTCAGTCATATTTTCTCAGCCATATTTTCTCACCAATATTTTCTCAGCCATATTTTCTCATTCATATTTTCTCAGCCATATTTTCTCAGTCATATTATCTCAGCCATATTTTCACGGCAATATTTTCTCAGCCATATTTTCTCAGTCATATTTTCTCAGCCATATTTTCTCAGTCATATTTTCTCAGCCATATTTTCTCAGCCATATTTTCTCAGCCATATTTTCTCAGCCATATTTTCCCATCCATATTTTCTCAGCCATATTTTCTCAGTCATATTTTCTCACCTATATTTTCTCACCCATATTTTCATATTCATATTTTCTCATCTATAAAATCTCAGCCATATATTCTCAGCCATATATTCTCAGCCATATATTCTCAACCATATTTTCTCAGTCCTATTTTCTCAGCTATACTTTCTCAGCTATATTTTCTCAGCCATATTTTCTCAGTCAAATTTTCTCAGTCATATTTTCTCACCCATATTTTCTCACCCATATTTTCATATTCATATTTTCTCATCTTTAAAATCTCAGCCATATATTCTCAGCCATATTTTCTTAGTCCTATTTTCTCAGCTATACTTTCTCAGCTATATTTTCTCAGCCATATTTTCCCAACCATATTTTCTCAACCATATATTCTCAACCATATATTCTCAACCATATTTTCTCAACCATATTTTCTCAGCCATATTTTCTCAACCATATTTTCTCAAACATATTTTCTCAACCATATTTTCTCAGCTATAATTTCTCATCCTATTTTCTCAGCCATATTTTCTCATCTATATTTTCTCAGCAATACTTTCTCAGCTATACTTTCTCAGCTATACTTTCTCAGCCATATATTCTCAACCATTTTTTCTCAGCCATATATTTTCTCAGCTATATTATCTCAGCCATACTTTCTCAGCTTTATTTTCTCAACCAAATTTTCTCAGCTATACTTTCTCAGCTGTACCTTCTTAGCTATAATTTCTCAGCTATATTTTCTCAGCTATATTTTGGTTTCCTGTAGAGTGAACTGGGCATACACTCTCGGTAGAAAAAACTTTTTACGCTTTTTGTCTTTGCGTTTAAACTTTTACTTTCTACATTCTGGTGTCGATTTGAGAAAACAGCTGGTTTGTCTCAGCCATATCGTCTCTACCATATTTTTTAACCATATTTTCACAGCTATTCTTTCTCAGCCATATTTTCTCAGATACACTCTCGGTTAAAAAAAAAAATTGATTCTTTGCGCTTTTTATTTTTTGTCTTGCGTTTCAACTTTTAACTTTCTACATTCTGGTGTCAATTTGTGTAAACAGCTGGTTAGTCTGCAACTTACCCCTTCGCAAATAATAATTATTTTAAAATATTAGTTCATTATTTTCTTTTGTTTGTTTGATCGCCTTGTTGTGTGTAAGCCATAGATCTAGGGTTCCTCCTAGAACCAATTCGAGTGAGGTTATCCAACCTTCCAATTTCGAAATTAAAAATCTGCCAAATTTGGCGATAAAGCCTTTCCTGCTGTCGTACAAATTAATCAATTTCTAGTAAAAAAAAATCTTCCAATTTCGAGTTATAAACCTGATAAATTTAAGGGTAAACCTGTCAATTTTGTTGGAAATATGCCAATTTTGATATAGGCCCGACCTAACATTGAAATCTGGGAGGAATCCTGGTTAGATGGGTTTCTAGTAAATCTTGTTATTGTTATCATGCACCATCTATTGGACACCTACTCGACACATGGAAATCAAGATCCAAATATATTCCTTTAGATCTGATTGAGGAGCGAGAAAAGGATATAACGGAGAATATCTTTAAAGACCCCATGAAGGGATTCAGCTGTCGACTATGCAACTTTAACGGGTCTAGCAGGCACAAAGTCTTTTGTCACATTGAGTCCAGGCATTTCAAGGACAACCCTTTAATATATACCTGCGTGTACTGTAGCAGGCAGGTCAACTCAAGGAACGCGCTTGGAGTGCATATGAGTAAAGAACATCGCCATCAATATTGATTGTCCAAATCCCAAAAAATGGAAGAAAATAGCAAAGATTTAAAACTTCTGAGACTAGCAGACATGTTCCTTGTTTAGAAGATATCCTGAGACTGATGCTGAACCTGGGGGGAGGAAAGTGGGAGTGTAAGGAGTGTGGGTTCGTCTCCAAGTCCACCAATGTCAAGTATCATATTGAATCCAAGCATGTGGA